GTTATTTATCAAATAAATTAATGCCCCAATCTTTCTAGTAATGATAAAAAGAATAAAGAGCATGAAACCCTAGATCTCGATATTCTACTCTAAGTTATACACAAAACCCTAAAACTTGGGAGCTTTATGGCCTTCAAGGGTTGAAACATAGGGACTTGAACTTAGGAACTTGCAGCAATGGATCCGAGGGTTAGGTTTGTTAGAGAATAAAAAAAATGAAACCCTAAAAACTCCAAACAAAAACCCAACTCCCAATTACTATTGTTTTTCCGAATATAAAAACAAGAAGTCTCAATTATTATTATTATTTTTAAAAAAAAGAATATATTGCCCTTAGAAAAATAGCTCTTGCAGGCCCGGACAAGTGGGCCCGAGGGTGTTTTGTGGTCTGAGAAAGGAGGAGCAGAGCGCGTGAACCGGCGATAGACACGTGGAGGGATTGTCCACGTCTGCAAGAGAGAGGGACGTCCACGTGGAGTGCACCCCACTAGGTACAGTGATGTCAGCAAACGGCGACTAAGATGTCACCGTCAAATTTAAGTCCGCTGTCCCCTGGTTTTGGGGTAACGCTGCTCCCGTCACGTTGGCTTCTGTCTCTTGAGAGAGAGAGAGAGAGATTGGAGGGGCTTAGAATGTGATGACGTGGCATATTCATGATCCTTGTATTAAATGTCTCAGCGACCGTCCTCCATTTTGTATTCTTGCCCCTACTTTCTCTCTTATTTCCAAATGAGTCCCGTATTTTATTTTCCAATGGAGGGGGAAAAAGTATATTTAAAATAGGGTGCGGTTTCTATAGAGCCGACGCTCTAAACAATCAAAGAAAAGAGCACATTCAAATGGCGTCGAGAAATATGCTTTTAATATTAGAAATTTTGTGATACCTTAAAATGTATTTTTATCTTTAATTAAAAAAATTAAAGCTTCAAAAGTAGCATAGATCCAATAGATCTATGAAAACTTGAAAATCTTGAAAATTAACGGTCCAAAAATGCATTACAAGATGCACTATTTCCAAAAAATTGGAATCTATTTTTTCCCATGTCCATGCATCGTGATGTCGAGGTGATCAATTTGAAGATATTAGGGAATCAAAACAACCTATTCTTGTAAAATTTTTGAGGTGGGCTCTAATTTGATTATTTAAAGCCTCGGCTCTATATAAATTTTTTCCTTTCAAATAAGGGAAAATTTTATATAGAGCCAAAGCTCCAAACAATCAAATTAGAACCTACCTCAAAAATTTCACTAGAAGCGATTGTCTTGATGCCCAAATATCCTCAAATTGATCATCTAGACATCAAGATGAATGGACATGGAAAAAAAATGGATTTCAAGTTTTGGAAATAGTATATTTTGTAATACATTTTTGGACCATCAATTTTCAAGATTTTCAAGTTTTTATAGATATGACGCTCTATACTATTTATGAAGCTTTAAACTTTATAAATAAAGATGAAAATATATTTTAAAGCTATCATAAAGATTTCCAATATTGAAACCACATTTCTCGACACTATTTGAAGGTAGGTTTTAATTTGATTATTTAGAGCCTAGGCTCTATACAAACCGCACTCTTAAAATAATGAGGTTAGATTATTGGAAAGAAGAGGAACATATATTTTGGCATATATCTAACAACAGAAGTTGAAAAAGATGAAAATGGTGCCTTCAAATTGGCAAAACTGATAGACGAAAAGTGTAGGATTAAAGATATTGGTGAAGGATGAAGATATCAATGAAAAGTGGAGAGTTTATTTTCATAAATGATTAAATAATGAATAAAATGGGAACATAGTGGTAGAAAGAACTGTTGGCACAAATGAAAGTGGAGGTCGTAGATACATTTTGTAGGATTAGGATATTAGAAATAAAACAAGCTTTGAAGAGAACGAAGATAGGGAAACATTTAAGAATCAGATGGTATTCCCATAGAGATTTCGAAGTACATGGGGAGATTGGTATTGATTGGTTGGCCAAGTTGTTCAACAATGTATTGAGAACAAAGAAAATACCAGACGAATAGAGGAAAACTTCTGTAATACCTATTTACAAGAACAAATGAGACATATAGAATTATACGAATTATCGAGGGATCAAACTTATGAGCCATACTATAAAGTTGTGGTGTGAGTGATTGAGTAATAAATATAGTATAAAACAAGTATAAAAGAAAACCAATTCAATTTTATACTAGGGAGGTCAACTACTAAGGCTATTTTCGTATTAGACAACTGAATGAGAAGTTTAGGGTGAATGGAAATGACCTCCACATAGTATTTATTAATTTAGAGAAAGCTTATGAGAGAGTACCTTGATTTGGTGGGTATTAGAAAAGAAAGCAGTCTCCAGACACTTCATCGACTTGGTAAGATATATGTATGAGGGGGCGCTAACTAGGATACGAACAACTAGTGGAGAGACGAGTGAGTTTTCAGTAACAATAGGTTTAAATCAATAGTCAACATTGATCCTATACTTATTTGTCTTAGTTATGGACAATTTAACTAGACACCTATAAGATGAGGTACTATGAGTATGTTGTTCTTAGATGACATAGTTTTGATCGATGAGACCCAAAATGACATTAATATAAAGTTAAAACTTGGATGGATGCTCTAAAATATAAATGTTTTAAAATTTACTGGACTATAATGGAGCAAATAAAAATGTAAGTTTAGTAATAATAGGAGTAGAGACGAGGAAATTGTTAAGATTGAGGGCTAAAAATATTTAATTTTTTTTTTTTCGATATATTGGGTCGATAATCCAGAAAAATAAAGAGATCGGGGAAGATGTTGCACATAAAATTAAAGCTGGATGGACAAAGTGGAGATGTGCAACCGGAGTTTTATGTAGTCACTATATCCTTCACAATTTTCTCTTTTAGGATACTCATATAATGATAAAGTGGATACCAAACTTAAGTTCTAAAACTTCAAATTTGAGGATGTAACCTAGTCATTTACCACCACCCTTAAAAAACAAAAGGAAGAAGTCCTATAACATTTGCCTTAAAAAATAACATTCCTAGGTTGAGCAGAGACCATCCAAATTTTTAAAGATCAAATCTCAAATTTTCCTTTATAGAATGGTCATGTGATGATAAAGTAGATACCAAAATTTAAGTTCCAAAGAATAATAAATACGTCCAAGTACATATACAGTATGCTCGCTCGTGTAGTGCAAAGAAAGTTACGGTAAGGGGAAGACGTGTGAAATTCTAGAAGTATACTATGGTCCTATGGGAGGATAATGTGTATCTACTCTCTCACTTAAAGGCCTACTCTGAGATTCTTTCAGTATGAAAAATTGGGAATCACTAGACAATTATTTCAGAATTTCTCTTTTTTTAAATTTGAGTTTTTTTGACACTTAAATTTTCCCTTTCAAAAATTTTCCCTTTCTAGTACATAGAGATTTCTATTAAGATTTTTTTTTTTTTCTTTATGAGGTTTTATCCCCAAAATTTAGAGACCTATAACTATTCCTATATTTGGTTTTATTCAAGGGATTAAGTGGACAGTATACTCCACTGGGAGTATAAACTCTTTTGGCATCTAAAATACTGAAAGCGAGGGAGGAGTAATATTGGAAAAAGTGAAAAGACAAGGTCAGAATAGCAACATGTCTTTTATGATTTTCGTACGTGCGGAGGAAGCCCCTGGAAAAGAAAAAGCGAGCCAAGCATTGTGGTCCTACTCCCATAAATATTTACATAATTATTCCTCAGCAATATGTGTAATTACTAATACCACCCCACCCTGAGAGAGTAACTGGAGCTCCTAAAATTGGCTCACAACAAATGCGGGGCACATGACCTGCAATGGGCTGGGACAGCATGGCACCAATCCCCATAGGACCGGCCCAGGCTGGCTAGGCACTGACTAATCCAAAGAGGCTTAGGCCCTAAGGCTGGGCCAAATAAAATAAAAATAAAAGAAAACCAAAGAAAGCCCAGACTGGGCAGGGCTCAGCTGATCCGGGCTGACCATGGCCCAAGCGCGGCCTGACCCTAACATCGAGCCACATTTTACAGCCTAGGCCTTAGTTTTTTAGGGGCAAACTGACTGGGTCGATCCTGGCCACCTAACCCATTGCGAACTCTAACTAACAAATATGTTGTCTGTATGATGTGCAATAAGTAAGGAATATGGTCATTTTGCAAAGATCAAGTATTGCTAATTTATCAACTTCTTTTTTTTCTCTTAATGATGATAAAAAACCTTCCAATTGATCATCTCAACCAGTATAGATATAGAAAAAATGAATTTTAATTCCAAACATTGAGATGTATTTTCAAACAGTTTGAAACTATTATCTAGACAATCTATTTCCAAGATTTACAAGTATTTATAGCCTAACTGCAAATTATCTCTTGATAAGGTCATTTTTGGTAGTTTTATCTAGGGATGGCAATGAACCCAGCTAGACTTGGGACCCTACCGGCAGACCCGACCTTGGGTTCGGGTATGGGTCCAAATTTTGGACCCAAAAGGTCGGGATAGGGATCGAGTCCAACCAAACCTGACCCGTACCATACCCGAATAATATGGGTATATATTATATGGGTATTAGTGTTGTCAATATGTATGTTTCTTAGAAATTTTCAATTATTATGCAATGTGGGTATTCATAAATGTTATGCCATAATATGAGTAGATGATGGTAAAAAAAAGAGAAAAAAAAAGAAAAAGAAAAAAAAGAAGCCCACAGCCCACAGCCCACAGCCCACGGGTCAGGTATAAGTCCAATTTTTGGATTGAAACGTCGGGTCCGAATCCAAAACTGTAGACCACGGGGTTTTGTCACCTCCAGTAGAAATCCCGCATGAAAAAAAATGTGAGGATCTCCAATGAAAATAGATGCCGAAAGGATGGGCAAATTGGGAACCCCAGAGCGTAACTTTCTCTTTCTATGTCTACATGATAAATGGTATTGACACCCAAAATTAAATGAGGCGTCTAAGGGAGGGCGCGAAGACATATTTAATGGGCCAAGGAGCAGATATTCCCGCACTTCCCTGCACCATTCTTTCTCTCTCTATAAATCTCTACTTCCACAAGAACCTTCTTATTATTTTCTCCCTCTACCTGCAACAATATCAACTCTACCTTCCCATTGGCACCTTCTCTGAAGCCTTTTAATAATCTCTCTCTCTTTCTCTCTCTAGAACTTGTCTTTCTCTCTCTAGAACTGACAGAATGAGGCGTGCTGAGATACTCTCTCTCCTTTTCTTGTGCTCCATGGCCACAGCCCAAGGTACTGAAAACAACATGAATACTCCATTTATTTTTGTTAGAAGCTTTTATTGCAATTATCCTGTGACATTTGTAGTTGTGATTGTTGAATGCTTTTTGGATTGGTGTTTTTTTTTCAGGTTTGAGTTTGAATATGGAGTTGAAGCGTTCTCTCTCTAGGGGAATCGCTGTGAGTACTGGGTTATTTATGTTGAGTCAGTGTGTGAATCATTGGATATTCAATTTTAGAGAGAGAGAGAGAGAGAGAGAGAGAGAGAGATGTGTAAACTGATGTGATGAATTGGTGCAGGTGAAGAAATGGGTGGGTTTTAAAGAGAGAAGAAGAGTTGCAGAAGAAGAGATTGATGTTCGAAAGCCAGTTACAGGTGCAGATTCAAACCCTAGAATCAAAGAGAGCGAGTGGAAGAGCTTAAAGGGTAGAAGGGTTAGTTTATTTAGGCCAGTTAGAGGGGTGGAGCACATGCAACCAGGCTTTCATGCCGATTATTCTAGACCAAAAATTCATAATCCTAGACACCATTGAAAAGTTTTTTAAGCTCTCTCTCTCTAGAAAACATTTGTAACAGTCAGTTAGTTGCACAAAGGAAGATGTTGAAAGGATTGTTCCTTTGTTTTTTGTTTATGTTCCTGGTGCAGGAAACAGTAGAAAACTCCTGAACAAGATAAGCTCCATTCAATTGGATTTTGATCTAACGAGTAAAGTGGTAAGCGTTGAAGATTAATCTCTGTCTCTCTCTAGCTCTTTTTCTCTCTCTCTATGAGTGGGATTTTGTGCATAAAAAGCTGATATTTTCAATTTTCTCTCTCTCCTCTAAGCGCCATTAAATTGGATTTTGATCTTAAGTTAAGTGGTAACCATTTAAGAATCTCTCTAGAATTGGGTGAGTTTATGCATAAAAAGCTGGTATTTTGAATCTTCTCTCTCCTCTGTGCTATCATTCTGTGTCCCATTAAGGCAAATGGAAGGTTTGTACTCGAGAGATGTGATGGGCAGAGGACAATTCCTTTCTCCTTCTATTCTCTCTCCAACACATTTTATCTTTTCTTTCTCTCAGCGAAAGAGAGCCATGCTTTTCTTTCTTGCTTCTCTGTGGACTGCAGAAACCTCTTTCTCTCTCTATGTATACTGAAGCTGGCCAACCCTCTCTCTCTCTCTAAATTATTGATCAAACTGAAGATGACCAATCCTTTTGTCTCTGATTTCACATACTGAAATGACCATTCTTTTGCTATGTGATTTTGACATGCTGAAGATTCCCACCCTTCTCTCTCTCTATCCATTTCTCTCTCTACACCCCACCCCACCCTAAAGAGTTAACATTAGAACTTCAATTATTTGTATATCAAAGGACTGTATACGACCTTTTCACAATGTGATTGCAAAAACTGAGGTGACCAATCTTCTATCTTTGTGATTTGACGTACTCAACATGACTTACCTTCTCAACTGAACATGACCAAGCCCCTCGCCTCCCCAACCAGCTCTCTCTCTCTCTCTCTCTCTCTCTCTTTCTCTCTCTAGAGTTAAGCACTACATGTCCAATTATCTCTCTCTCCCTAAAGCATTAAGCACTACAAGTCCAATTATCTCTCTCTCTCTCTACCTTTGCTCCATTATCACTTCTCTCTCTTTCTAAAGAGTTAAGCCCTACAAGTCCAATTACCTCTCTCTCTCTCTCTAAAGAGTTAAGCCCTACAAGTCCAATTATCTCTCTCCCTAAAGATTTAAAGCACTGCAAGTCCAATTATCTCTCTCTCTCGACCATTGCTCCATTTTCATATCTCTCTCTAAAGAGTTAAGCACTACAAGTCCTATTATTTATCTCTCTCTCTAAAGAGTTAAGCACTAAATGTGCAATTATCTCTCTCTCTAAGTTGCAATGATAATTGTGATAATTTACAGAGTGATGATTCAAAGAGAAAGGAATTGGGAAATGGGGGAATGGAGAGACGTTCTCTCTCTTCAATGAAGAAGAAAGGAGGAGTTGGGGAGGAATACCAAAAGTTCTCATCAAATGACCCTCTTCCAGATGACCTTGTCGATATTGCAGGAATGGATTACTCCCCTGCAAGGAGAAAAACTCCCATTCACAATTGATCTCTCCTATCCTAAGACACCACACAATAAACACAACAAAAGAAGGAAAACTAGAGAGAGAAAGTGGGAGAAAACTAGATAGAGAAAGAGAGGAAAACAAGGCTGGAGGGCATTATGTGAACAAAAATAAGGAAAGAGGGAGGCATCAATGCTGCAGTTTTTGAGGGTTGGATACGCTGGTGTAACATACTTATTTCTTGTTATTGTTATCATAATACTCTTTGTATTTAATAGAATCATATTGTATTTAATAAGTTTGATTTTGATTGAATGTAACGTTACTTGAGAGCCCCTTTTTCAAGTTGGCAATGATAGATAGGAGTTTCAAACATCATTTTAAACTTTTAGTAAGAGAAATCATCATCATCATTTTCAAATTTTATTCTAATTATTTGAGATCTGCTACACGAGTCAATGTTCCGTCAATCTGAATAATGTCGGTTATACGAGTCATGTTCCGCCGTTTCAAAGGAGATATATGAATAAGAGAGAAGGGGTTTCACTAAAACAGAGGTGAGAGAAAGGGATTGTGCATGGGATGAGATGTGAGAGGAGTGAAGCCACTTGGAGTTAGGATGTGGGGTATGTCATGTTGGGGGGGTGGCATTAAATCCAAGGTGGGCTCTCACATGTTTTCTATTTACTCCACTTTTATTACACTACCATGCAATTTCCAACTTCCTCTCTCTCTCTCTCTATATACTTTTCTTTAGGGTTGTGGGCTTGTGGGGCACACGCTTGCCCTCTCGACTTTCCAGGATTAGGCTTGTGCACATCTCGGGTCGTGTTTTGCATTCCTCAAGTGAACACGTTTGCTAGATGAGCACCTCTTTTTTTTTTCAACGGTTAGTACGATTTATCATATTCAAATGTAAAATACAAGATGCAAGATTACTCAAATGAAATAACTAATAGACTCATCTTTTGGCGAAAACATCGATATGGTCATTTGCCTCTCTATAACAATGTTGGACCGCTGTCATAAAAATTGACAAAATATCCCAAATTTGATAAAAAATAGTCCTTAATGTCTAAAGAATATGGACCTTTCTCTTACTCCAGGCAATGACATTTGCCGAGCTTCCTTAAATAATCATGCCCCTTCCAAAGTGCATGATAATTTCAAACTTTCTAGTAAACCTCGTGCTTCTGCCTTATTTACTGTTGTTATACCACAAAGACCAAAACAAGAAAATATAATGTGCCCCAAATTAGTTATTATCAGACCACCATAGCCAGCTGGTCCTGGATTGCCAAGTGAACTTCCTTCAAAATTAAGTTTGAGGGAATTCACTGGTGGTGGTATCCAAGTAACCTCACTATGAGTTTTGGTGGTAACACCCGCCACTACGAGTGTTGGTAGCAACACCCATAGATGAGAGTACCTCTCTCACTCTCTCTAGTATCTCTCTCGCTCTTTCAGTGTCTATCTCTTTCCATGATTGACTATGGTGCCTTTTGTGGTTCGAGTTTAAAAATGAGAGGGTTGGTTGGGCAGGCAACAAGCCAGGCTTGCCCAAACAAGATTCAAGCTTGGCCAAAGAGGCCCTCGTTGGGCCTAGGGGTGGCAACGGGGTTGGGTCATGTCCAGGTGACCCGAAAAAATGATATGGGACCTAGACTTGGACCTGGATCCAGACCCAAAAATATAATGTAGGACCTAGATCCAGACTCGAAAATATAATGTCGGATCAAGACTGGGACCCAATCCGACCCAACCTAAAAATTAAAATATCTATATATTTAACTATATTTAAATATATTTCATATATTGAGGCTTGAAAACCTAAACCTGGACCCAACAGACCAAGACCCGGACCTAGACCTAGACCCGGATAGCGTTTGGGTCCAAGGTCTTGACCCAGATCCGACCTGTCGGGTCCAATTTTTGGACCCATACCCAAACCCTGATTAGGTCTACCCCTCAGGTCCTAGGTCTTGTCCAGGTCCATTGCCACCCCTAGTTGGGCTCTTAGATTAGGCCTAATAAATAGTGAAAAAGTTTAGAAAATAAAATATAGGGCCCCCTTAAACCAGTCTCGTCTAGGCCCTAAGCCCATCTTCAGGCCAAATTTTATGGCCCACACCTAGTTTCTCAGAGCTGGGCCGACAAGTCTAGCTGCGTGGCCTATTGCCAGCCCTTATGACTGGCAAAACCGGAGCACACAATCCTTTTATCACGAGACTCTCTTCTAAAGATGAGACATGAGCGATGACATACGATTTCCTTTTTGGTGTTTGGGCACGCACATGTTCCTTTTATTTGTCTCCCTTGTGTTTGTGTATATGTTGCTTCTAATTGTTTAAAGTTCATTATATTTGCGTATAGATTAGTGCTTACCATACAGAAAATAAATAAGCATTATTCAATTTTTATTCTCTCTTTGAATTTTTAAATTGGTGATTTTTTTTATGGATCTGGTTTCTATGCAGCCAAGCCTGCATAGGTAGAAATACAGGCCTATTAATAAATCTAATTTTGAAGGATATATAATATCTAACATGGAGATTGTGAATATGAAAAAATAAGTAAATTTTAAAAACTAGAAATAATAATTCTAGTAAGAAAATATTTGGATTGTTAGTTTCCATTGTTTTTAGATGGAACACCTACTTGCATCCATCTTTAAGATGGATGCTTTATACTTTTTGGACCGCATATGTAGTCATGCGGTCCAGCCCGCAAGAAACAATTTTCTTTTTTTCATTATAGAAATGTACATGAAGATATCATTTTATATTTGGAATACAAGGAAGTCATCATCAATTTTGTATGTTAGATTTCAAATCGGGTGCTTGTGAGTATGTTATTAATTTGACTTGAAGTATCGAAAAGAAAATTTTGGAAGTTTAAGACAACCAAAGGTGTCCAATTTGACATCCAATGGCTACTACTAGCCATGTGACCTCTTTGTAATAAAAATAAAGTGTGTACTTTGTACAGAGCCTAGGCATTAAACAATCAAATTAGAGCCTACCTTCAAATAGTGTCCAAAAATATTGTTTCAATATGGAAAATCTTTGTGATAGCGTTAAAATATATTTTCATCTTTATTTATAAAGTTTAAAGCTTCAAATATAGTGTACATCAATAGATCTGTGAAAACTTGAAAATTGACGATCCAAAAATTTGTTACAAAATACTCTATTTCCAAAACTTGAAATCTATTTTTTTCTTATGTCCATGCATCTTGATGTCAAGATGATCAATTTGAGGATATTTGGGCATCAAAACATCTTCTAGTGAAATTTTTGAGGTAGGCTCTAATTTGATCGTTTAGAGCCTCGTCTCTATATAAACTTTTCCCAAAAATAAATGACCTCTCATAAAATACCTTTCAATATAATAAAAAGTTTTGGTACAAAATTGGTAAGGACCTATACAAAAGAGTCCTCTCCTAGAGAAGCCCAGTACAACTCATACTCTTGGAACGGTTCAAAGTTCCTTGTACCCTCATTGGGACGCATTAAAAGTCCACCCTATACTAAATGCACCATTTATTCCTTTGAGCATGTATATTACGTTATATTGTCTACTTTCTTTTCTTTTTTATTGAATGGAAAAAGTTTATATAAGGAAGCTACAATTACGGATGCCCCTTAAAAATCTATCGAGAAAGGTAGTTTTAATGTTGAAAAACCCTCGATTGATCATCTCGATATCGAGATGTATGACTATGAAACACAAAAAGATTTGAAGTCTCATAAATAATGCATTTTACAACATATTATCTAGACTGTCAATTTTCATGATTTATTATATTTATAGATCTACGTGATTTTAACTATTTTTGACATTTAAAATTTTTATAATCAGATATAAAAATAGATTTTGAGATAATCCAAAAAATAGTTTACATCAAAATTATATACCATGATAAAATTTGAAGGTGCATCTTATCTCTACACCTAATGATGCATCCATATGCAAACTGCACCCTTATTGAATTGCCTACCTACTCAAGTGAAAAAGCTAATTAGGAAGATTTTTTGAAGGACACAGTATCTATAATACCTAGGATTTATGAAACAATAAAGCCTCGTCCCAAATCATCATCCAAAAAACACACTTTGGGCATCAAAAACTTCCATGATGGCTTTAAAATCAAATTTTAACACCAACTGTGAAATTTGAAGCTATAAAATGGTAAAGATCTTTTGGATATGTGACATTTATTTTTAGGGCAAAATAAACAATCTAGATCATGTGTCACAATATATACTATCTTAGTACTTGAAATCCTAATTTTTTCTTACAATCATAATGGTCAAGGGCGAGATCATTGATTTGAAGGTTTTCTAACGCCAAAACTGTAATTTTTGGTGAGTTTTGCTGTGAGGCTTTACTTATTTTGATAGGGTTGCAACCCTATTAAAACATTTTCCTTTTTTGAATATGGAATTATGAGTCAACTTAAGTAGGGGTGGTAATGGACCAGGACCTGACCCATACCTGCCGGGTATACCGACGTGGGTCCGGGAATGGGTCCAAGTTTTGGACCCGCGGGTAGGGTCTAGGTCCAATAAAGGATACCCAGATAGTCTTGGGTTCGGGTATGGGTCCTGCTATACCCAACCCGACGAGTATCTGGACCCAATTTTTTAGTTTACCAAAGGCTAAAGCCCCAACTCTAAAATCATTTTAATACTTTTTGTCTTTCCGTAATTCCCAAACGACCAAACCCCATCGCCATCCTCCCTCTTTGCAATTCTCCCTCTCTCAGTTTTTTGGAGACATAGCTCTCGCTCCAGATCTTGAATCTCTCTCTCTCTAATCGCCCACCCCTCAAAAATTAATTCTATGTTGTTCACCATTGTAGGCTACACAAAAATGAAGTTCATAGTGAGGGTGGCAATGGACCCGACCAAACCCGGGACCCGATGGGATAGACCCGGGACCCGATGGGTACAAGTATGGGTCCAACTTTTAGACTTGATGGGTCGGGTCCAAGTCCAAAACCTGGACCCGAATACATTTGGGCTTGGCCCCGGGTCCGGGTCCAGCAGACCTGATCTATAGCCGACCCATTGCCGCCCTTAATCTTCAGAATCACAATTATTTTCAAAACCACAAACTAGGGTTTTTTAACTATCTATATTAAATTTTAGAACTTTGTGTTTTCAAGCTTTTAAAGAGTGCATTTAAAATTGGGTGTGGCTTTTATAAGGTTGCAACTTTAAACAATCCAATTAAAGCACACCTCCAAATTTGATCATAACATGTAATTTTGGAGAAAAAAATCTTAGAATTATTTTAAAATATATTTTTATCTCTAATTATAAAATTTGAAACTCCAAAAATAGTTAAAATAAAGTAAATCTATAAGCGTATGAAAATCTTGAAAATGAACAGTCTAGATAATATGTTGCAAGATGCACTATTTATGGGACTAAAATCTTTTTTTCTTTTTTTTCATATTCGTACATCTTGATATCGAGGTCTATATAATATGTTGCAAGATGCATTATTTATGAGACGAAAAATCTTTTTTCTTTTTTTTTCATATTCATACATCTTGATATCGAGATAATTAATTAGAAGGTTTTTCAACATTAAAACAACCTTTTTCGATGGATTTTTGAAAGACATGTGTAATTCTATATTTTAAGGTTGCAACCTTATATAAACATTTTCCTTTAAAATTCTTTCCATTTTATGAAATTGATCACACAAGTTTGAAGAGAACTCCTCTCCAAAATTCGAGATCTCAAAAAACACCTATACTAGTAACGAGTAAATGTAAGAGTGTGAAATCTCATGACTTATTTTTATTTTATTTAATCAAACTCAGTAGCCCCACTCTAAAGTCCCTCCACTCCAAATTCCAAACCATTAACCATGGATATCTCTCTCTTCTCTCTCTATGGTTGGCAATGGACCGGGTCACCCGGCCCTAAAAAAAAGGGGTAGGGGTCACAAATTGGGATACTCCCTTTGACCTGGGCTAGCCCCATTTTATTTATTTTGAGTCGACCGGATCTGGGCGGGCGATACCGAAACAAAAGTTATGCTAGGGCCAGGGGAAATACGGTTAATATGGAAGTCCTAAGCTCCACTCCAAATTCCAAACCATTAATCATGGATATCTCTCTCTTCTCTCTCTATGGTTGGCAATGGACCGGGTCACCCGGCCCCAAAAGAAAGGGGTAGGGGTCACAAACTGGGATACTCCCTTTGACCTGAGCTAACCCTATTTTATTTATTTATTTATTTATTTTGAGTCGACCGGATCTGGGAGGGCGATACCGAAACAAAAGTTATGCTACGGCCAGGGGAAATACGGTTAATATGGAAGGTGGTTGTTATTGGCCACGCACCTTGCCTTCGAATTGGGCCACAAAATCCCCCACCTCTTTCCATCTCTCTAACCCACGTAGGATCTACACAATCAAATCAAATCGAATCGCCATTTTCTTTTTGTTTTCTCTCTCCTCCATGTCATACGCATACCATGCACTTATACAAATACATCATGGGGGCATCCACCGTTCACTTCTTATGACAAACGATGCAGATTGGCCACATGGTGAATCTTATGGTCCCCAACTAATACTAAATCCCATCGTTGGTAACCAGAAACAAACAGTCGATTCCACTGTAGTGTATCATGAAACGTAAGGATGCCACCAATATACGGTATGATTCTCGAGAAGTTCTATCCTCCCCTTATCCAACAGTCTATGTTTGAATGGAAGGCTATGACTGCTCCAATCACAATGTCCCGTTTGTTTTATTTTTATTTTTATTTTCTATAAACTATTTTGACGTCAAAATTTAACCGTTTATTCTTTTTAAGAAGTATTTTAATTATTACTTTTTACCGAAAAATTATTGTTAATATTTTTTTTTTATGAATGCGCCGCACTGAAAAGATGGAACCTACCCACCTTCATATTAAAAATAAGTATTAAAAAAGTATATTAAATAAACTACAAATAAAATACTTTTAGAAAAAATCAAACGATCAGCGGCTCTCTTGATAAAAAAAAAATGAAAAATGAACGGCTGGATGGTAGTAAGAGGATAGAATCCGGACATAGAAAGCTTTCTCTCAGAGTATATTCTCTCTCTAAAAGTTATTGTTTCTCTCTCTAAAAGTTTGAGTGGGATCGTGCACTCGCAATGGCCACCTTCACAACGCTCCGCCCATTTCAGAGGAATACTATCAATATAGTCTCTAAGCCACCTGCAAAACCCAGGTTTCCCTGCAAATTACGGGTCAGTTTAGCAGTGGCTCCTTCGGTACTCTCTCTCTCTCTCTTCATCATCTTTACCGCATTTGGCTTATGTGGTTTGCAGACTTCAGGGTTCTCTTAATGTCCTTGACATGTCCATGGCTGAATTTTTGGTTTGATTTGGTCTGTTGAGTTTCCTGGTTGTGGGTTTAATTGATTATGAGTTAATGGATAAGTCAATTTACTCAATTTTGTTAGTTTGATTGAGCTTCTTTGTGATCAAATAGAGCAATTTATTGAGAGAGAATCAAATCAATCTACCAGTAAATTTACGCTAACCATCTTAATTTCATGCTTCATTACTAAATTGAGGAAGGTTTGGATTGGATGAATTGGCTGCTTCTATTCATTGGATGATTGCTTCTTGGTGGTAGAAAATTACAGAATAGATAAGAAGTTCATGGGTAGATTTATGGGTTTTTCACTTCTTAGTGGTTGTGGGTTGTGAGGGTTGTGCTTTCATGATTTTAATGGTAAGCAAGCTTGATAATTCAGTTCCATATAGTTACTGTGTTTGCTCATGACCATGATAGTACACTGAAATGAAGAAATCCATGGCTACATATTCTTGATACACAACAAGAATATTCATAATTTATATGGACCATTTTTTTTAAAATAAAGGAAAACTAGTCTCACAAAAAATGCAGATTGGGGGTAATCATCACATTCCAATTGATAACAGGGGAACTCATACCTTTAAGGCATTGATGGATATATAATGAGGAGAATGATTGTCACGGAGTAATGATTTTCCATGAATTCTCCATGTTGGTTTGTCTCCTCAGGAGAGTACGTAATATTTCTTTCCATATCGAAGTGGGTAATTAATATTGTCTGATACAATTTTTTGAGTTGAAAAGGAAATATATGGATACAGATCCCGTGAATATAGATGAATTGGGTGCCTTGGTCCAAATCAATACATCGATACCTGCACATTATTATGCCTGTAAATTCCAAGTTCTATGGTCATTATATTTGCAGTGTGGTTCATAATAGTGATATGAGCCTTCTGCAGTATCTGTTAATTCCTTAAGCTACCTGCTCGCATATAATAGTGAGATCAATGTGAACATGCTTTGTGCACCCATGAAACATAGGATTGGTCTCAATGTGAAGAGCACTCTAATTGTCACAATATAGTGTAGGCTCCCTCTGAGGCGCATTATTACTCATCTCAGTTACCCCTTATCCATATGATTTAAACTGTAGTTGTGGCTATTATCCAATGGCTCTGTAACAGGAGGTGGAAGTAGTTCGCTACTTGTTACATTTGTAGGCAATAATAAGATAAATAAGAAGTTTGTACTCTATAGTAGCCTTGAGAATGAGGCTGGAGTCGTGGTGGTAATACTGCCTAAGCCCCAGTTAAAGGTCACAGCCTCCATTCTCACTAACACTTTAAAAAAATTGACTCTTTCCAAAACGGCCAGGGGCCTGTAATCCCCACTGATCTACCAAAAAAAAAAAAACTCTGTAGTTGCGGTTGGCATCAACATAGTTCTTGAACTTGATTGTCTAATGAATAGGCAATTATCATTCCTTGTTTTCCTGATTTCTTGATAGCTTGACTGAACTTTTCAAACCATGCCTATGGTGCTTACTTGATGCCATATGATTTGCAGCTGACAAACTTTAGTTATGGATTCTTGAGAGGGGACTTTTGTTACAAACTTGCTTTGTAACTCTGAACTAGCAAGTGACAGAAATGAAGACACATATCTTGTTATAATAAAAGCAGTATGATTCAACCATACAATGCGCCCATGTATATGCACTGCACAAACATATTCACTGTGAGACATTGAAGGTAAAACACACCAACACAAGCTACTAATATATTTTACACAATTTCAAGATTATATTTTCAATATTAAAAACCTTAATAAATATTGGCAACAAAGGATAGAAAGGAGGAGGAGAACAATGGCTTGAAATGGAGGGAGATGAACCACACAAATTACATGTGATTAATGCTTACTGTACTAGTTCATAATTGGAAAAATAAATATTATCTGGCCATTGATGAAGTATGGCTCATTTAGGTCATTCAAGCAATCTTCTCAGAATGTGAAGGAATTAAAATTCTAAAAGAAAATAACACGCCTAACTATCCAAACAAATATGTAAGGATCAAAGAAAAATCTAAGAAGCTAAAAAATCCATTTTTAAGTCTTCTCCCATTCAGAGCTTTCCTAACATTCATATTCTCTCTTTTAGAAATCAAAATTTTAATTTAACCTGGGAATCTCTGTCTCTCTCTCTCTCT